CAAAAAAAAAAAAAAAAAAAAAATTCCTAGCCCCTCTCGGAACTCCAAGGCCTGACTGGAGTCCTTTCAGCTGCCTCCAGAGCCCCTAGCCCGAGTCATGGCCCTCAGAACCCCCCACCCACGATCTAGCTCAGACACCCCCACCCCCACCCAGGTCTCCGAGGCCGAGGAATTCCTTCTAAATTTGCTGCAGCGACCCCAGGCCTCAGTGGGGCTGGAGTTGGTGAGTAGCCCCCAATCCCTGGGCGCTGGGCCCTGGGAAGATGGAGAGGCTGCGCCCCCGTCCCGAGGGCCACACAGCCACCCCTCTCCCCCAGGGCAGCCGAGTGACCATCTCCAGCGCGCAGGGGACCCCGCCCCCCGCCCCGGGGAACAGCAGGCCGGTGAGCAAGCCTCGGGGACCCGGGAAGGGAGGGCACCCTGGTGAGGCCGAGCCCCCTGTCTGACCAATCCCCCCCGCCAATGCCCCCACCAGCTGTCCTGCTTCGTGGCTCCCGACTCCGGCCGCCTGCCATCCATCCCCGAGAACGTGAGTAGGGACCCAGGAGGGGACAGGCCCGGGGGCAGGATCTGAGATCTAGAGAAACCCGGAGCGGGATGCCAGATCCTGGCGTCCGTCTACACCCAGCGCGCCTCTCTGGCCCTCAGAGGAACCTGACGGAGCTGGTGGTGGCCGTGACCGACGAGAACATCGTGGGAGTGTTCGCCGCGCTCCTGGCGGAGCGAAGGGTCTTGCTCACCGCCAGCAAGCTCAGCACCGTGAGGCGGGGCCCCAGGGCAGGGCCGGGGCCTGGCTCCGCCCCTAGGGGGGCGGGACTACGGGGCCGAGTCCCCGCCCTGACGCCGCAGGCGAGAACAGGGGGCAAAGTCCTTGCCCCGCCCCCTTGGAGGGCTGGGCGAGTTGCATCTTGGATCCGCCCCATGGGGGGGGGAGAAGGAGGCTGCGCTGTGGCTCCTCCTCTTTGGGCGTAAGGAGTTCAGGCTCCACCCCCTAGGGGGCCAGACCAGACCTGGCTCCGCCCCTCGGAAGTTGTGAGCTCAAGGAGCGCTAAATTCTAGCTCTGCGGGGGGGGGGGGAATGGGCGGGGCTGAATCATGACTCCACCCCTGGGGCGGGGCCAATGAGTGGAATCCTAACTCGGCATCTTTGGGGCGGGTTTGGTGGAGTCGTGATCCCACCCCCTAGGGGCGGGGCCCAGTCGTCTAGCCCCGCCTCCTTGGGGGTGGGGTTAGGAGGACTGCATGTTAGCTCCGCCCCCGAGAGGGAGGGAGTAGGCCGAACGGAGTGCTGGCTACAGTCTCAAAGCGTTGGCGAATTCTTGGTCCCCACACGATTCTCAAGGCGTCCCAGTTTTTGCCCTTTACCAGTAGCGGGTAGGGAAGGGGGACTGGGACGAGGGAAATGGAGCTGGGAGAGCCACCGTCACAGAGGGTCCTTGAAGTGGGGCGTCCGGGTCCTGACTCCACGGCCCCCTGCCCGTCCCCAGCTGACGTCGTGCGTTCACGCGTCCTGCGCCCTCCTGTACCCCATGCGCTGGGAGCACGTGCTGATCCCCACGCTGCCCCCGCACCTGCTGGACTACTGCTGGTGAGGGAGGGGGCTGGAGACCGGGAGGGCCTGGAGGGGGGAGGACAAGGCCGGGGGGCGGTGCCTGCCTGACCCGCCCCCTCGATCCGCAGCGCGCCCATGCCCTACCTCATTGGAGTGCACGCCAGTCTCGCCGAGGTGAGCGTGGACGCCCCCGGACGGCGGGGGCGGGAGGGATCCCCCTCCCTCTATATCCCCAGATACCCTCCCGCGCCAAGGATCCTCAGGCTCTGGGGGCCGTGCCCCACCCCCCTCCCCGCAGAGCGTGCGAGATAAAGCCCTGGAGGACGTCGTGGTGCTGAACGTGGACTCCAACACTCTGGAGACCCCCTTCGACGACGTGCAGGCGCTGCCCCCCGACGTGGTCAGTGTCACCCCCCCTCCTGCGCCGGGACGCGGGGGCCCCACACCCGCCCACTCAGCGCCACCCCCTTGTGCTCCAGGTATCCCTCCTGAAACTGCGGCTAAGGAAGGTCGCGCTGGCCCCCGGGGAAGGGGTGTCCCGTCTCTTCCTCAAAGCCCAGGCCCTGCTCTTCGGGGGGTACCGCGACGCGCTCGTCTGCAGCCCGGTGAGCCCCGGGGACACCGAGGGAGAGGTTTCGTTGGCTCCTGAAAGAGTCACAAGGATAGGGATAGGTTGGCCAGGTGCCATGGCTCACACCTGTAATCCCAGCACTTAGGGAGGCCGAGGTGAGAGAATTGTTCCAGGCCAGGAGTCCGAGACCAGCCTGGGCAACATAGCGAGACCTCGTCTCTACAATCAATTTTTAAAATTAGCTGGGTGTATTGGGGCAGACCTGTAGTCCCAGCTTCTCGGGAGACTAAAGCAGGAAGATGGCCTGAGCCCAGGAGGTCAAGGCTGCGGTGACCCATGATGGTGCCACTGCACTCCAACCTGGGCAACAGAGCGAGACCCCAACTCAGAAAAAGAAAAAGAATCGTGCTAGACAGCATTTAGGAAGTGCTTATGTTGTGCCTGTAAAACATGATCCCAAGAGCACCATCTAAAAGGGCTGAGTCAGTGAATCAGCTCATTCCAAGCACTTTGAATTGTGCCTGGCATATAGTAAGCACTCAATAAATGCTAGGTTTTCCTATGACTACTATCTCATTTAATGCTCACAACAAAATTAGAGGATGGCTGCTATTGTAGTTCCACTTTACACTTGAGCAAACCGAGGCTTGGAGAAGTCCTGCAGTGGGTGAATGTTGAAGTCGGGCCCTTGATCTGCTGACCTCAATGCCCTGTCCCCCTGTTTTTCATAACTATTCAATAAAAACTTAGGGGGAGTTAGCCAGGCATGGTGGCTCACACCTGTAATCCCAGCATGTTGGAAAGCGGAGGCAAGAGGATTACCTGAGTCCAGAGGTTCGAGGCCAGCCTGGGCAACTTGGCGAGTATCTCTACAATAAATTAAAAAACCAACTGGGCATGGTGGCACATGCCTGTGGTTCCAGCTACTGGGAAAGCTGAGGTGGAAGGATTGCCTGAGCCCAGCACATTGAAGCTGTAGTGGCCGTGAGCCTGCCACTGCACTCCAGCCTGGGCCACAGAGTGAGACTCTGACTCAAAAAAAAAAACATCTGAGCACCTGACATTCTTGTAGGCTCAGTCTTTACAATATATCCTGAAGCTTCGAATCTGCCGACCCCCTCCAGTCTCCACCCTGGGCTGGCCTCACCTCCCCTGGGAATATCGCCCAAAGCAGGTCATGCTTGTCCCTCAGTCTGTCCTCTCCGCAGCAGCCAGAGGTCACCTGTGAGCACCTGAGTCAGGTCCCGTCCCTCCCCCGCCCACAGCCACCTTCCTAGGGATAAAATCTCAAGCAAAGGTCGGGGACAGCCAGCACCTAATCAGTGTTTACTACGTAGATGTAGAGTAGAATGAGGGGGGTAGCTGGTGGCAGGAAAGCCGCAGGGAGCTCAGGGTGCATGTGCGTCCTTCTTCCAGGGCCACCCGGTGACGTTCAGCGAGGAGGCCTTCCTGGCCCAGAAACCTGGGGCACCTCTGCAGGCCTTCCACCGACGGGCTGTGCACCTGCAGCTCTTCAAGCAGGTGTGCCAAAGCCCTGAGGACAGAGCAGGGGGGACTGGAGGTGCACCTCTGTGTCCTTTAGGGCGAGACCAAAGCCGATCCGGCAGGGACCCTCAATTCAGAGTCTCAAGGTGGGAGAGGAAGGACTGGAATCCTAGCTTCCAAAGGATGGGAGCCCTAGACTCCTGGGTTCTTGAGGGATGACAGCTACTCCTAGTTCTCCAAATTCTCAGGTCTTCCTGGGCCGACAGTGGGGGTCAGTATCAGACTCCAGGGGGACCAGTTCTGATGGCAAAATCCCTTCTGGTGGGTGGGGGTTTCTGGGGACATGAAGGGAGGTGGAGGAAGCAAAGCCAGACCTCTGGGTTTCTAGGAGGAAGTGGACCCCTGGGAGGGCATGGGGCAGTCTGGAGGGTCAGAGTTCTGGGCCCCTGTGAAGGGTGGGATTTGGCCTATGGGGACAGGTCCTGACTTGGGGGGCAGAAGGAGGGTTGGATTTCTGGTTCCTAAGGGGGGGTCCCAGATTCCTGGGTCCTTAGGGGTGGAGGGGCCAGGGATGGGATGCACCTGCCACTGTGTCTGCTTCATCCCAGTTCATTGAGGCCCGACTGGAGAAGCTGAACACGGGGGAGGGCTTCTCAGATCAGTTCGAGGAGGAGATCACCTGCTGCGGAGCCTCTTCAGGTGAGCCTGGAGCCTAGTCCAGGGGTATCCCCACCACCAGCACCCCCAGCCTAAGCCGGCCTGGACTGACCCCATGCTCTCTCCTCACTCCAGGTATCCTTCGCTCCTATCAGCTCTGGGCAGACAACCTAAAGGTAACAGCACCAGACACTAAGTGTTTGATTAATCCCATAGCCACCACCAGGTAGGGCCATGGATCGTGCTTATTTATAAAGGTGAGGAAACGCAGACTCAGAGGGAGTGGGCTCCGGGCGCCATGGCTCACTCCCGTTATCCCAGCACTTTGGGAGGCCAAGGTGGGAGGATCGTTTGAGGCTAAGAGTTCGAGGCCAGCCTGGGCAATATAGTGAGACTTTGTCTCTACAAAAAAATCAAAAATTTAGCCTGGTGTGGTGGTACATGCACCTGTAGTCCCAGTTACTCAGGAGGCTGAAGCAGGAAGATCACCTGAGCCCAGGAGGTTGAGGCTGCAGTGAGCTGTGATCAAGCCACTGCACTCTAGCCTAAGGCTCAGAGTGAGATCCCGACTCAAAATAAAAAAAAAAAGGGGGTGGGGGTGACTTGGCCAGCATCACACAGCCTGGGGTGGGGAGGTGGGGTCTGGACCCCAGAGCCCAAGCCTCTCTCCCTTGGTGTCTTCTCTCCCAGAAAGGTGGTGGTGCCCTCCTGCATTCAGTCAAGGCCAAAACCCAACCAGCCGTCAGGAACATGTACCGCTCGGTGAGGCTGGGCTGGACAGACCACTCTTGCTGGGTGACAAGGGGGAGGGGAACGGGGATACTTTGATCCCTCATGGCATTAGGACATCTTGACCCCAACAGACTTTTTACGTGCAAATGATTTCCTCAGAACCGAGCCAGCAGTTAAACCATTAACAATTCTTCCGGCTTTTATTTTTCATTGATCATACTCATTTTTGTCAGTCACAATCTGCCTATTTAAAATCAACAACCAAGATTCATTGGCAAACATCCTTTGTCCTCGGGATTCAATCTCAGTCTGCCCTCATGGGCTTTTGGTTGGTTTGTTTCTCCCAAGCCCACAAGCTCCCTGGGGTCAACTTTTGCAGCTCAAAATCGTCCATTCGATTTTAGTCTTCACAGCTTTGAGACGCGTTTCTTTTTTTTGCAATGTTTTGCCACTCCCCGTCTTATTTGGGGGCCATTTCCTCTGGAAATACTCCTTTTGTATCAAAGGGACAAAAGTTAGTGCTGACTTCTTAGGGGGTAGGTGGTGAGTTGCAACTGTATTTGTGAGACCCGGAAATGGACAGGCAAGATAAGGCTGTCCTAGGGCACAGACTGAGCTGTCCAATGCCAGGGTCCCATCAGCCTGGGTTCTAACCCTAACCCTTGGCCCCTTCCTCCCTAGGCCAGGAGCGGCTTGAAGGGAATGCAAAGCCGGCTGATGTACAAGGTAAGACTAGCCAAGAGACCCAGGGGAGTTGGGGAGAGGCTCCCAGCTCACGAGTCTTCTTCTCAGGATGGAGTCTCTGGCCTCCAGAGGGGAGGCTCCCTGAGGGCCCTAACCCTCACCAGCCGCTCTGATCACCTGCAGCAGCGCCTCCCGATCATTCAACACTTTGGCCAGGTAAGAACGATCCCTCCCCCACCCACACACCTGGAATTATCACTGAATCTATCACCCATGCCAGGCTCTATCTGGCTATCTCGCCTCCACCCTCACCTACCCTAATATTCAGTGCCCACTTCAAACGCACCCTCCTCCAGGAAGCTCCCTGATTTCTGCAGCTCCTACCTGCTCCCCCCACCCCACGACCTATCCTTTGCAGAATCGACCCCTTCGCCCCGGTAGGCGACCACGGCCAGAAGAGGGACCTTCTGAGCCCCCAGGGGAGGGGTAAGTCTCAAGGGTGGGGTGGGGATGGCTGTGTGTGAAGTGAGAGGCCAGGGTCCCCAAACTTGAGAACAGCCCGACCAGGGCTGGGGGTCTTGGGGCAAATATCTCAGGCTACCCATCCTCACCCAGGACACCTCCTCTGAGCCCCAAGGACACCCAGAACCCGTGGGCAGAAGAAACACTTGACAGCAGCTTCTTGGGGTCTGGGGAAGAGCTGGATTTGTTGAGTGAGATTCTGGACAGTCTGAGTGTAGGAGCCAAGAGCTCAGGCAACCTGAGACCAAGCCAGAGCTTAGACTGCTGTCACAGAGAGGACCTGGACAGCTGCTTCAGCCTGGTGAGAAACTCCCCCCTGCTCTCCCACCCAATGACCCATCCAACTTGCCAGCCCCTCTGCCGTCTGTAGGCCAGCAACGGGCCTGTCCTCCCACTTTGCGCAGCCCAACATACCAGAAAGAGCAAGATGGCAACCAGATGGCGAGAACCTGCCAGAACCCCAGCCCCTGTCCCTGCCTGGAGACCTGCAGTCCCTGCGTGCCACAAGCTCCTCTGAGAACCTCAGTTCCCAGCTTGCCGACCAAGAAGTCATCTCTTCACCCCAGTTCTCAACAGCTTCTGCAGTCCCAAGCAGCCAAGGGGACCTGGAATCCTGTCTTCCTTCAGCTCCCCTAATCCTTCATTCCTCCCCTCCCCACAAGACAGCAGAAGGTTCTAGAGCCGGGGAGAGCCCCAGTTCCAGGCTCTCCACAGCACCCACCCAGCCCAGACCTCCAGAAAGCCCCCAAATCCTGGCCCCCACGAAGCCCAACTTTGATACTGCCTGGACCTCCCAGCCCCTTGATTCTTCCTCCGACCTCAGTTCTCCAGAAAACACCAGAACCCAGCCTCCCAAGGTCCTCGCAGTCAGGCAAGCTCATCTCCAGTTGCTTGAGGAGCCGGGAACCCCCAACTCCCCTGCTGCACCCCCTAGCCACCAGCAAGAGGCCCAGGCCAGGAGCCGGCCCAGAGTGGCTGATCTTAAGAAGTGCTTTGAGAGTTAAGGATCAGAGTCCGGGGAATACCCTGGTTCCTCAATAAAACCACAAGAGCCCAAAGCTGGTTCTTCTGGTGAATCTATCTGGGGTCTTCTCTCTACTTGGAAACCCATTCCCTGCCCCCTCTCTCTCCAAGGACAGCATCTAACTGGCTCCCAGAAGGGAGTTCCAGGAAGTACCTGTCTTCTTGCATTTGTCTCTGCCATCTAGGCTTAAGCCCCCACCGGCTCAAAAAAAAAAAACAACTTTTATTTTATATCTCACTACCCATTTGATATAAATATATAAAAAGTGAGCAACCCACCCTCTCTTCCGCTGGGGGCAAAGTCTTTACAGCACCTTCTTCCCTGATATTCTTAAGCGCTGGAGTGGGTCTGATTGCCCAGAGAGGGCTCTGCCTTCCCTCAAGGGCACACAGCAAGGAAGGGGGGCAGATGGAAAGGAGGGGACCTAGATGGGCAGGCAGCCCCACACCGTCTCCTTGGAGTCCTGGGGGGCCCGGGCCTCGGCTGCCTGGGAGAACTGAAAGAAAGGAGAGCGTGTTGTCGGGCCTGCAGGACACAGGGCAGGCCAAGGTCGTTCGGCAAGCGGGGAGGCAGGTCCCCAGCCCCGGCACCCCTAGCTGCAGGCACGGTCAAGCAGAGGCGGCATGCTGCGCAGAGCCCGCCAGGCGGGAGCCCCCGGCCTCCCCCAAGTCCTCCTGAGCCATCAGAGGCTGGTGTCTCGGTGGCAGCTGCTGCGTGTGAGCCAGAACCCCTCAGTCCTGGGCAGTGATGGCGGCTGCAGCGGGGCCCCGCGTTCAGATGAGCCGCTCTTCCGGCGGCAGCTTGAGGTTGGGCGGCGGTGGCGCACGGGCACCCACCTGCTCCTCACTGCTGGGCCGGTAGGTGCCCTCGGTCTGCCGCTTCTCCCGCAGTTTCCGCACCAGTAAAGCCAGTCCCACAGCCAGGAGCAGGGCGGCCAGGATAGAAAAGACCACGATGATAGCAGTGATGGCCTCCGGAGACTGCGCAGAGTGGACAGGTGTGACTCATATGCGTGGCATACATCCCCCTGCCACACCTGCCATTTCTGGTGACCTGGCCCCCTCACTGGGGCCTCCCAGATCCTCCTCTGTTTCATCCGGGGCTCCAAGACTCTCTCTGTCTGCCATGTCTGGAATCCCTCGGTCCAGGAACCTGCCACATCCGGGACCTCTATTCCCAGCAATCTACCAAGTCTGGGCTCTTAGCTCCCCCCCACCCACCTGAGAGCCCACCAGAGCCCTTACACCTGCCACGTAGATTATCCTTGTGACCCCATCCAGGGCCTTTTGGTCTCCCTGCCCCAGGACTTTAGGACTCTCCATTTGTAATCCCAGCATTTCGGGAGGTTGAGGCAATAGGACTGCTTGAGCCCAGGAGTTTAAGACCAGCCCAGGCGATGTAGCAAGACCTTGTCTCTTGTCTCTACAATAAATAAATTCAAAAACATTAGCTGCGTGTGAAGGTACGTGCCTTTCGTCCTATCTACTAGGGAGGCCCAGGTGGGAGGATCGCTTGAGCCCAGGAGTCGGAGGCTGTGGTAGCCGTGATTGGGTCACTGTACTCCAGCTAGGACAGAGTGAGATGCCGACTCAAAAAAAAAAAAAAAAAATTCTGGTTTCTTCCACGAGGGGTTCCTCAAGGACACCCTAACCTGCCACCTGACCCCTCCACATTTGGGACCCCTAAACCTGCCACATTTGGGACCCCTAAATAATATCTCTGCTGCCCTCTTCCCATGTATACCCACAACTCACCAGGGCCCCATTGGTGCTGGAGCCAGTGGGTGTGACAGTGCCGGTCTCAGGGGTCGGTGCTGGAGGGGTCGGTGGTGGGGTGTTC